TCGAAACAGTTTCTTCCTTTCAAAACGAAGTTCACAGAGCAGCCTTCGTAGCTGTATTGGCCATCCAAGCTTTAAGCCACAAGGCTACAGGAAACAGAAGTCAATCCCATAATACGAGCCGAGAGTTTAATCACTTCTGTGATCATATCTAGCAGGTAGTCAATAGACAATTTAAGACTGTGGAACAGGTGTGAAAGATCCATGTCTTGTTGTTCTACTAGGCAATCTTTTAATGCTTGAATCCAATAGGGCTGAGCTTTAGCGATTGAAGCTCCCGCCATAGCTGCTTTACTCTGCAACTTGATATGCGTCTCAAACGAGCCAGAAACAAGTGAGGTGCAGCCTTCAACATGTGCCAGACTATAAGAGTTGACCCATTCAACCGGTCATTGAGAAAGGAGGACTATTAGTGATGATTTCAATATGGTATGTATTCCTTTAATGTTCCTACAGCACATATGTATTTGCTAAGCTTTCATTTTGTATTTGTACTTAATAATTTAGGTTTTCAATGGTAAAATGTATTGGTCAGGAACGGAACCCATGTTTATTACATTGCGGTCTATGGGAAATTAGTTCTCACTTTATGAACTAGGCTTCAGAACCACTTAGTAAAGTCGGGAACTACCTGCATATAAAATAAATGAAACCAAGGATGGCTAGGGTTGCAGTCACCTAAACATGCATATATAATAACGTGCTGCTGGGGCCAATTTATACAACATACAAAGTATACAATCAGGCGCATTTGCTCATTTACTAAACAGCGATTTCAAGTCCCATAGATTGTAATAGTTTTATATAAAACACCTCAGCTAGGCAAAAAACAATGGGGGTTTAGTTACAGTATAAAATCATACAAGGCATAAGCCTGCCGCAACGTCAATGTACCCCATTCTTGGCAGGTCCTACTCTAACAGCCTTATGCTTGCTCTTATGAGATTAATCCACTTACTTGGGAAATTCTTCCTCCTGGGACTTTCTGCAGGTCAAGGCTAAATAAAGCCCAAGGAGTTGGCCTGAACTCCCAAATAAATATATAAATAAATGAAACCAAGGATGGCTAGGGCGGCACTCACCTGAACATGCATATATTATAGGGTGCTGCTGGGGCCTATTTATAAAACATACAAAATACACAATTCAATATGATCAATGGAGAATTCCAATTGCTTCAATGTGGACTTTTTCGTGTGATGGACCAACAGCATCAACACGGAAACGTGAAAAGCTTGTAGCATGATGAAACAAAGTGTATTTATAGTCTAAATGGTTGTTGCCAAAAAGAGCATTGAACGGATGTATCATTTTTTGCCATATCTAGCTCTGCATTGCATGTGAATATCGAATGTACATTCTATGTGTGCAATAAAATTTTTGAAATTCAAGACTCTTGTCATTGAGATACTGATTTTTCTGAAACCTTTCTGATTGGTATTATATAGTGTCATGATCTCTTCATGTAGCCTGATGGTCAGGTTCTGGTGACATGAACTATGGAAAACTAACTCTCTGCAAGATAAGATACACATCTTTATTGCTATTGGAACCAAATGAAACAGATGATTCATGTCAAAGAAAAACAGATTCCAGGAAAATAAAGGAAAATCAGCTAATGGATGTTTTTTACTCTTCAAAGCAAAAAAAAGAAGAAACAAGATCAGAATTTATTTAATCCCTTTTTATTGCCTATACCGCAGTGAAGAAAATCCAGTAATAATTGAATGCCGGTTTCATAAAATTCTGCATCAAGCTTCAACTTTGTTGCAAAATATCATTAGGTATAACATGTACAATTATATAATGGTGCTGAACGTGAATGTTTGAAGCCATTTCTATGTTTATCTATGCAATAAATGAATAAACACTCTTTTCATTACCACATTTTTCAGAATACAAGACTCACCTGTATATATTAATTAGAAATTGAGAAGACAAAAAAAATAAAATAAAAAACAACCAGTAACTAAAGTAAACCTCAGCGTTTGTGCATAGGGGATGTGTTGTATGCGAGTATAGAGATTGACCACTTTTTAGTATAGTGGATGTAGTGAGTGTGACATGTGTCTATGTTTAGGTAATGTAATGTGGGTTAAGAGGATGTTAGTGTGTGTTGTATAAGGACGGTTATGTGGGGAGCAGTATATATTTATATTTTGTTTTATTTAAGTTTATTATTCTCCTTCTACATGGCTCCTTTGCTAAGGCCCAGGTAAGCCATGTACTCTGCTTATCAAAGCTGTTCAAAGTCAAATGGGCGGCAAGCACAATTTTTATCAAACAGTTTGATATAACATGCAGGGATGATGTCCACAAAGCTACCCTTTATGCTGTTTCCCAGTCAGAGTGGGTAAACTCAACTTTCAAAGGTTGACCTTTCTGGCAAGTGTAATACCGACATAAATTTCATAATAGGGATCCAGCTTGTATCACTAAAACATAAATCAAAAATACAACATAGTGTAATATTGTTATTGTATTATTAATAGCCCAATGCTTCAAGGTTAAACTCACAGATCGGCTGCATGCAATAAGCTTTCAGGTTGCCACCCCTGTGGATAGGGGGGTACGTCCTGCTGAATCGGCTACCAAATTGGGAGGTAACTGGAGGGTATCCAAAGTTCCATGATGACGAATAGGGGGCGGGTCGAACCGCGCATATGTTCGCCCGCCGTGGCGAACGCGAACATGCTATGTTCGCCAGGAACCGTTCGCCGGCGAACCGTTCGGTACATCACTAATTGTGACATTTTCAATGTTTTTTTTCTCATTTTCTATTTTTCTCAATAAAATCTTATTTCATACAATAAAGGAAACTAGGAGACAAAGCAAGTAGCTGAAAAATAAACCATCATCAAAACAAAGACGCCTGTATGTAGATTTCCTTCCCTTCTAAATCTCTCTAGCAACCCTTGTCTCTTCTCTATTTTCTAAAGCTTCATCTGATTTCATAACCATGATGTGACACTACCAAAGCAGGAAAGAGACCCACATTTTGTCATTGTTTCTAAAATGTATTGTACGGTTCTGAATACAGATAAGAATCTGTATTAACCCTGCAAGCTCACCATCAACCTCCCTCGCTCCACTACACTGCACTTGAGGACAGGTCACAGTGCAATAACCTAAAGATTAGAGGTGTATACGACACAATCACACCTGACAAGCTCCCTCACTTCAGCCATATGAACGCTATTCCATATTTGGTAGAGCTGTCCCTTCCTGCACTTAACACTGTTTCAACCCAGTTTCCCAAACCCCCTGCGACACATGCATTCCTGCAAAAAAAGCAGTAGTCACCCAATGGAACAATGCTCTGTTTCCCTCAGCTGAACCACACACACACACACACACACGTCTTACTTTTCAAAACATTTGGAACACTGTTTGGATGTCTGAGAGTTTCACTTCACGGACCAAAACGGTATGCGAGACTGTCTTTCTATTTGGTCAGTAACAATTACGCTGTATTGTGTTTTTTTGTTTGTGCAAAATGCCAATCATCTAGTAAGGTCATTTGAGTAGGGCATTCTTCTCCTTTAAATAAAGTAGCTTTCTATAATTGTAAATCTCTGTGGCATATTTTTGCACTATATAAATAATGATATTCACTGGTCAGAAGCAGTAATCTTATCTCTAAAAAACATCTATGTAGTTACACAGCTATTGGTTAATATACCACCTGTACAGCATTGCATGTTCTCAGACAAAATAAATGCCAACATAACAAACTTTGGATTTCAGGGGAAGCTAGTACAGGTGTCATGAACAAACAGGTTTACATTTAGAATCGTTTAAATAAACTATATTACATAATACCACGTGGGTTATAGATCACGCAGACTTTGAGAAGATTTTTACATGCTCCTTCACTGCACTCCTACTCACCTCTATTATTGTTTCCTGTCCCATTTGTGTGCCTACATTAACATGAGGCCACACACTCCCTCTAGAAGCCCTGCCTGCAGGGCTAAAGACAGGTCTGAATACAATAAATAGAGGGGTGTAAAATGCACTTCAGTGTACTAAATATTAAACAAAAAATCCCACAGCTCTAAAATGCTTGTGCAGGGTGACTTCACTTCCCTCACCAACCAATAAACAAAAATATATAGAACAATATATGGGGAGTATGGGTAGTGCTCACCTCGTTTAGAACCAATCCACTCCCCGGCTCTAAGATTTAAAGCTGGGTGTCAAATTGTGGGGTGACACTCACCCAAAACTGTATGGCTGGAGTTTAAAGACAGAATGCTTCAAATAGCTTTTTCACAAAAAAAAAGGAAAGAAAAAACAGAAAAATATTGTATTAAGCAAAATGTTCAATAAAATGCCCACTGCCAAAATGCGTTTCACCGATTTGGCTTCCTCAGTCAGCAAAATGAAGTGTATAGAGTTCCGGTTTACAGCCCCCATTTCTTTCTGAGTGAGAGAGATCCTGCTTGAAGAAAGGTGGAGAGCTACCTTGAAAAGGCACATGTGCCTATGAAATGAGCCTTTCATTTTAGGTTATACTTGATGTGAATGTTCTTGCTATTAAACTCCTAACAATACCTCTAGTCCTACCATCTGCACTGGATGTTGTTTTTTTTGTTTATATATGCAATATATCATGGATTTGACTCCCTGTGTTCCAATTATAATGGATTTAAATATCCCTCCTTTTATTCAGCACTCTACTGCTTTTAATAGGTGTTGCACTTGTAATATATTTTTATTAGTTAAAATTGTCTGTCTAGGACAGTTTAATAATGGCAAAAATATTTAGACAAAAAATAATAAACTTTAGGTTCATGTTTAACACATCACTGTACTCCCTGTCCATGAATCCTTAATCAGGTCACCCAATGAATGAAGAGAGGGGTCCTGGTACAAAAAGATTTTAAGGACCCCCCCCCTATAGAATAGGGGTGACCAAAAGGTATAACTCTCACAGACTTAGAACGTTTTCCAATGTGGTGCACTTGCAGAAGTATTTAAAGAACACAGTCATAACTCACTTTTGTTTTATGAAAAATAAATTTATTACTTAACACCTTGCTTTAACAATGTTGTTTTTTCTTTAAATCAGAATACTTGTCTTCCATGTAAAATAGTTTGATACAGTACATTGTAATGTTACAGGTTTGTTTCCTTGTAAATTCTAAGGCTTTCCTACCGCTTAATTTTCCGCTGTAACAAGAGCAACCCTATATAAGGTGCTGGCAAACGAAAGCAAAAACAAAACAATGAAACATGAAATGAACTGAAATCTACTACACTGAGCCAGCTTCCCTAAAATCAACATCTTAACAGATGCACAAACTCATGAGGCTGTTCTCTCATGCTGTATATCTGGCGGTTATGGTTTTGTTAAAACCCCATAGCATGCTCACAACTCAGCAACACCTAAAATGAGAATTGTGGCATAAAACAAAAAAAAAAAATAAAGTAAAAAGAAATTGTCAATGACAAACCAGTTTAATGCGTTTGCTGAAGCAAACATTCATATCAATATCAAACAAACATTTACTATAGGATAGCAGCTTTAATATCAGTCAAGTTAAAGATTTACTAAAAAAAAACCTATGCTGAAATATAATCTTTGGGAGGCTTACAAAGGAAAAAAAAAAAAGGCAAAATGCTGAGCTTTTTTTTATTTATTTTTTTGTACATTTTTGTTGAGGGGGGTGGAGAAACAACGACAATTTGATGTGTAACAAATTGGCTGAATAAGAAATCCCAAAACAAACACTGAATGGAATGACAATCTTATCCAGCATGTTGGAAGAAAAAAAAAAAAGTTTGTGTGATGGTTTACCAGTAAAAAAAAATCTTAGATTTCTATTGGTCAGACAATATTGTTTTAAAGTCATCACACACAAGAAAGGAAGGAAAAAATTAAAATAAAATATTGGTTTGCTCCTAGCATACTTCACAGCTTCAACTGCTACCATCACTGAAAGAAATGCATTGGTCAATTTGAACCATTTCAAGTAAACTATGGAAGTAGCAAATACACAACACCAATTGTGATAGCACTCTCTCAAGTTTAACCTCCACATGGGATCTACATTCGGTCAAATGTTGTGTACGTTGGCTGCTGGACATTTTGAAGGTGTGGTTGTACAGTACATTAAAATGCCAGGCTTCAGGCAGACAGCTACATGCTCATGTCCTGCAGCCTAAGCAACAGTGCATTCACATTTGTCTGGTACAGGTCAGTACCGATGCGTCTGGTGTGAGTACTGTGGAGGCTGCTGGGAGGTAGTGGAATATCCCATGCTGCTCTGAGGTTGGGATGTGCTCGGTCCAGGGTTTGGATAGGCAGCATGTGGATTGGAACGCTGAAAGTTCAAAGAGACAAACGTGAGCGTGTTTGCCTATGGAACAGAGTTAACATTCTTCTTTTATCATTTCATACTGATAAATACATTAACCCCTTAAGGACCAAACTTCTGGAATAAAAGGGAATCATAACACGTCACACATGTCATGTGTCCTTAAGGGGTTAAAAGTCACAGAAAAGCAAATAAGTGGCATATGTGGCTAATGGCATGCTGTAACACTGCCATACATATTACGATCAATGAATCTTTCTAAATGTTTATTTGTAATGGAGTACAAACTGTACAAGGAAAGTATTAATATCACCAGGCAATTCCAAACCAGTCCAATGACAGCTAGTGCACATCTACCTGATAATCTGAGGTCATAATAAGTCCACCTGAGGTAGTCGTCGGAGGAACAACTCTCACTTTCTTCAGCGGTGGTCCTTGTGTGTGGCTGTTATCTTGATTTCCTGGATGTCCAGTTCCATTAGTATGGTTATTGCCTTGCTGCTGCTGTTGGTTTTTCTTTAACAAGGAAAAGAGAAGAGAGTACATTACATTAGACAAGACCTATCCACCAACACATCTTACGTTGGCTGCTCTCCTAGACATTTTTTAATTTTGTATAATCCTACATAGTTGTAATTCTGGAGAAAACAATGAAATAAGTGAAGAGTAAGGATATGAGCAACAAACTTAAATTGTCTGCCCCAACAAAGGCTGAAGAGTGATCTACACCATATGGAACAAGACCAAGAGTAGTAATCTGAAGGTCTTCAGAAGTAGATGCCATCAATTTTTTATGCATTAAATGTAGGTTTACCCTGAATAGGATCAGCAGGAAGCAGCAAGAGCTCCAACTAGCACCAAACCAACATTAAACTGTAAATTCAATTCATATTTATGATGTCACATTCTTATGTATTTCTAACAAGGACTCTTGAGCTTCATGTAGATGCGTTATGGTTCTAGAATAGGAACCCAATTCTATTTATTGAACATCGAAAAAGGGATCACGTTAAAGGATCAGAGATATGTAATTCAGAGATAAAGTATAAAGGGTGAGTGCTCCCTTGTAGTTGAATAACAATATTAAACATACTTTGTCTCCCTTGTCATCAGGTTCCTCTTCTGTCAGGAACTCCCGCTTAGGGTAAGGTATTTGACAACCTGCAAAGACGCTACCAAAAGGAGAGACTGGTCAATTCTGGTCCAATTAAGAAATAAAGCTTAATGCTGCACCACGCTTAAAAAAAAATAAAATAAAAATAGCCCTTTTCAATTTAACCACAGTTTTAGAAAAAGCTATATCTAAACAATTAAGAGAAAAAACTAAATGCTTAAGAACATTCTATTTTTACAGGAATTAATAATATGGAATTGTAAAAATATATGAACCATTTGAACCAACAATGACTAGAGTTACGTCTGCTGACTTTTTGAAACTCTGATTATAGCCTCACACACACAACTATAAAAAGGAAATCATGACATATTTACAGGTTATACTGTGAAATCCTCAATATCATCTACCGGTATAAGTAATGTTATGAGACATACTACTGTTAGCAAAGAGAAAAATAATAAAATATTATATACCTACATATATTTTAAACTGTGGCGAGCAAGGATTCACAGCTGGAGGGTATATTATGGCTTGCACTAGCAAGAACCCTGAAGACCTAGCTAGTAGCAAAGGACTACATTACTTACTCTGAAGTTGGAAGTGGGTCTTCTAGGAAATATGGATCCTGCATAGCTTGCTCTGAAGAAATTCTCTTTATTGGGTCCATTGTGAGCAGCTTTTGAAGCTTAAAACAGGAGAAAATAATATCTTATTGATTGCGGCCAATGAGAGGAGGTATTTCATATAATTGTTTAAAAGAGGACTTCACATTTGTATGTTATCAAAGTTTCCTGTGATGTATCAGATATTTACGTGGAATGGTACCTTTATATAAACCTAATCACAATACCATGCCGTTTACTGTCATTTGCCAACATTCAGTGTGCACTCTGGAACGTCTGCTCTGTCTTTAGCAACCGGATATCAACAGCCATACACTACCTTTTCATCTGAAACTCACTCACAATACTAGCACTCACAGAGACCTGGCTTTCCTCCTTCGATAGTGCTACTCCTGCCTTTTTATATGTTTTGGTGGGCTACAATTCTCCCACGCTCCCAGACCGAACAACCGTAAAGGAGGTGGTATAGACATCCTTCTCTCCCCTCAATGTACCTTTCAACCAATCTCCCCCTGCCCTATCCTTTATTTCCTTTGAAGTTCACACTGTCCGTCTATTTAAACCCACTCCTTTAAGAATTGCTATCATCTACCGCCACCCTGGTCATCCTAGGCTATTTGTTGAGCACTTTTCTTCCCAGCTACCTCACTTCCTCTCCGCTAGCACTCCTTCCCTTATACTTGGGGATTTCAATATCCCAATCAACAACCCCAACTGCACTGATGCCTCTCGTCTGCTCTCTGTAACCTCCTCCTTTGGCCTCACACAATGGTCTAATTCAGAAACCTACACAGCAGGAAACTCTTTATCTCGCCTTCACCAATCTCTGTACCGCCTTTAATCTCTCCAATATTCCTTTTCCTCTATCTGACCATCTGCTGACTTGACCTCAGTACACCCAGGACCCAACTGACACCACCCTTGGCACATCAATATAACAGAAAACTCCAATGTCTTGACCTAGAGCGCTTCTCCACTAACCTCACTTGTCCTAACTCTGCAGTCTCCTTCTACAATTCCACCCTCTCCGCTCAACTAGACATCATGGCACCTCCTATACTTAAACACAGCAAGCGCCCCAACTATAACCTTGGCACACAAAGTTGACTTAATGCCTCCAAAAATGCTCCAGAACTGCTGAACTCTGCAGGAGGAAGTCTCAGCCGCATCTTACTCTCTCTACTATGACTTTATGCTGTGCTCTTAAAGCTTGGCTCTTTCCTCTGCAAAAGTAACTTACTTAAATACCCACATAACCACACTGTGGCGGACCACCAATATATCGCCACCATGGGTTCCCTTTCCCTAAAATAACGTAGCTCTCATAAAACACTCAAAAGTAATCACTGGTATCGCCTTTCCCCCCACACATTAGTCGAGACTGAATGCTGGGAGTAGAACGGTTTAATCCAGGCAAAGCTTCAGAATTTATACACACAGTAAACTCCTCCCCTGTGCCGGATAGATAGTAGAGTCAGGAACTGGAGAAACTCAAAATAATCTCCAGGTACAGAAAAATAAAAATAAAAATGTCAACACCCCAAAAGTACCCCCAAAATCCATGGAACCCCTCAAGAGTCACACATGCAGATATGAAGACATGCAGACACATACAAACATACACACAGATACAAATACAAACATATACACATATAAACACACACACACAGAAACACATCCGGATATACAGGGTCACAGAGACACATGGAGATACAGAAACACACACACACAAACAGACACAGACATACATACATACATACACACACACAGACAGACACATACATACATACAAACAGACACATACATGCACATTTTTTTATGTGTTTCCTACCTTTGGAGTGCAGGAGGTTGGCTAAGGCTGATTGGAGTCAGTGCCCCAACTCCTCTCCTTTTCTTCTCCTCCTCCCGTGAGGTGCTCATGAATGCTGGGAGGAAGTGACCGGCTGTCACTTCCTCCCAGCATCCTGACATCATCACAGGGGGCCCGGTCCCACTCTCAAAGCAGCCGGGCCCCTGAAAATACATCACCATCGGATGGCCCTTAGAGCACTGGCCACCTGATGAGCCTCCACATCGAGAGGACCGCGGTGGTAGTTCCACGCAGACCGCACGCACCATGGCGGCCCGATGACTATAAGGGCAGATGCTTTGGGCCCCCTAAGACTGAGTGGGCCAGGGGCAGTTGCCCTTTTGCCCAGTGTTAAAGACGGCCCTGGTTTTAACACCCACATTCCCATTTAAGGCGCTTTTGGCGATGGACAGGTGTCATCATGGGCACTTTGACAATCTGCGATGCACTGTGTGTTCTGACACCCTTCTATCATAGCCAACATTATGTTTTTTAGCAATTTGAACTACAGTAGCTCTTTTGTGTGAATAAACCAGATGGGCTAGCCTTTGCACCCCACATGCACCAACAAGCCTTGGGCGCACAAGACCCTAACTCAGGTTAACCAGTTGTCCCTCCTTGCACCACTTCATACCAGGAACACTCCACAAGACTTGCGATTTTAGAGAAGCTCTAACCTCGGTTGTCTACCCATTACTGTTTGGCCCTTGTCAAAGTCACTCAGATCTTTTTGCTTGCCCATTTTCCCTGTTTCGAACACATGAAATTAAAGGTCTGTTCGCTTGCTGCCTAATATATCCCAACCTTTGACAGGCGCTATTGCAATGATATAATCAATGTTACTCACGACACCTGTGGTTTTAATGTTGTGGCTGATCAGTGTATATTTGGTGGCAATCTACACTTCTCATTTTCTTCTCTATAAGTGGTCAATATAAATATCATGGTGAGCATATGGCACTACAGATTATAGCAATGGAGCTAGACTACAATATTCACATTACAAGTGAACTCCACACGGCTGAGCTTACCAAGTGGAATGTTTTGCTATCTGGTTTCACTTTATGCTTTTCCATATATTTAATAAGGCTGCAGTTGGTATACCTAGAACATAAAAGATATGGTCAAAATCATACAAGACAAAAAAAAAAAACCAAAAAAAAAACACCTCAGTGGTAAAGTAGTAATCGGTTATTTTTTCCCCAAATTAAATATATAGCAACAAAGAATAATGCTCTGAAGGTACTGTATCCTGCCAGCTCAACATACATACACATTTACATATACATGGTGAACATAGTATAAATGCGATACAGAATATCCACTAGGTTTCAATATATTGAATAACACAGTAATGGGTTATTTGTAATACACAATCTATTCCTATTTTAAAAAACCTCTTGAATGAATAATTTAAAGGAACACTATAGTCACCTTAATTACTTTAGCTAAATAAAGCAGTTTTAGTGTATAGATCATTCACACCTCCCCTGGCTATGATTGACAAAGCCTGCATGAAAAAAAAAATGGTTTCACTTTCAAACAGATGTAATTTACCTAAAATAATTGTATCTCAATCTCTAAATTGAACTTTAATCACATACTAGAGGCTCTTACGGGATCTAGAAAGCTATTAACATAGCAGGGGATAAGAAAATCTAAATTAAACAGAACTTGCAACAAAGGAAGGATAAACATTAGATGACTCTTTGCAGGAAGTGTTTATGAAGGCTGTGCAAGTCACATGCAGGGAGGTGTGACTAGGGATCATAAACAAAGGGATTTAACTCCTAAATGGCAGAGAACTGAGCAGTGAGGCTGCAGGGGCATGTTCTATACACCAACACTGCTTCATTAAGCTAAAGTTGTTCAGGCGACTATAGTGTCCCTTTAATCAAAACCAATGTTTTAAAGAAACCTTTAAACATGTGTATGTATAAACCTTAAACCATGCATTATATATAACAAATTAAATTCAGTAGTGTACGTGATAACTAAAGAAAAAACAAAATAAAAAAGTGCATACAATCACGTTACTGTACCCAAACACCTAGAGACACTTCCCTAAAACAGAGCCTTCATTTACGATATACCCTACGTTTGACTCTTATAAATAAGTTATGTTGACCATAATTTTCCATGAAGTAGCAGACGGTAATGAAAAAGTTAATTTTAAAAAGAAAACCAAGCGTGAAGAATACTTCTATCAGAATATCCATGATAAAGAAGTATATTTCACAAAATATTGAGAAGACAAAGTTAAAAACAAAAAGTAAAGCAAAAACAAAGTCTGCAGAGGAAAAAAAACAAACAAAAACAATATACATTATGTATAAATGTTAAACAAATCACTGCCAAAACATTTATATTTTCATACAAAGTAACACACCACCGTTTAACTACAAATGAAGCTCCATGTATGAACAAGGAAAGAGTTTTGAGCTACAGGACTTACGTATTTCGACGAAAATCTTTCATTAGAGTTGAGTGCTCGGGCATCTTTTTAATGTCTTCCCAATCTTTATCTAATTGTGTGTTTTTTTTAAATGCAATATAAAAAGAAAAAGAAAAAAGTATTTAGATCAGAGAGAGAAACGTATAGTCCAGTTACTGTAGTAGCACAGCCTTCCTCCGTAAAATGGAGATTCCTCTGACACTGGGGACGGTGTAATGAAGATGCGTTTGCAAATTTACATTTTGCTATTATAATGTACAAGAAAAGGATTGTTACGTATGTGTCACAGAGATAAACCATAGGAAAAGTCAAAAGCCAATGCCACACATGTAATTTGGGACAATATGAAAAGGGTGAGAAACCAAAGCTAGATTCTAGCTGAACACCTCTCCAAAGCCAGCAAAGTAAATACAAATGTTCTGTGGAAATCTGTACCTGCAGGAAATCCCATGACATTAAAAATTCTATCCAGCTGGTCGTGATGATAAGGATTACTAGTCTTGATGTCCTCTTGCCGACAATGAAAAATTGGCTCTGACGTTAACAGCTCTGCAAATATACATCCTATAGCCCAAATATCTTGCAAAAGAAAACAAAGAGTGGTGTACATAGCTTGGATTAGATTTATTTTATGGTCACTGTTCATGGAGACTCAATAGCAAGTGAAACATTTTATATCAAAGCACAAATGATGACAACAAAACAACATTAAAAAACAAACTAAGCACAGCTGTGTTTACTCTACATTGGGAGCAGGGTATGAGTCGGAGTTTCAGGCAATTTTGAGTGTTGCTGTTAAGAGATTTTACTTTATGGGGAATTGTGGTGATTTGAATCCTGAACATGACAATTTAAGCAAAAATAGCAAATTGTTTAAAGATACTCAAGCATATATACAGTCACAGCTTGGTTATTTTGGTCTGACATTTGTTTTTCAATTCACGGTTTAGTGAATAAAACTATTTCTGTGCAGAAATCTCACCAGAAAGAACAAAAAAATAAATAAAAATAAAATAAACACAGCCAAAATCTAGATTGAAGATTTCTCTAAAACAGAGCAATGGAAAACCATAAAGATTTTTAATCAGCTTATTCAAAAAAGGAAACCGTACCATAGCATTTTGCTATACTCACCAATAGCTTTGGTATAATGCCTTGCTCCTAGTAGTAATTCTGGAGCCCGATACCAGAATGTAACAACTACAGGATCTAAATCTGCTAAAGGCTTTAAAGGTGAATTAAATAACCGGGCAAATCCCATGTCCGCTGCAAAACAAAAAAGAAAGTGTAAGTCTTTAAAAAGGCAAAACACACAAAAAAAACAAGCCACACACACACTTTTATAGGATTCATATGGGGAGGGGAGGGAGGGGGGGAATAAATAATAAAGTAAAATATACTAAAGGGACTTGATAATGGACTGAATAAGGTCCTTCCCTAAGAGGCTGCATTGTGGCTTTCACAAAGTGTCAGAGCTGCAGTCTTATAAAATGCTCTTAACTAAGGACACACTCTTTCAAACTTCATAGCCATCATGTGATTAAATAAGGTAACTACACTGGAGCAATATGCTACACCTTGCAGGAGTGTTCTATTTAGGAGAGGCTTTTACATAGAATTTACTGTAAAGGTGCAATGGAGTGGTTTGTGTGCAGTGTCCCTTTAGTTTACCCCGTGCAATTTAAACAAACTTTGATATTTTGTTGCTACGGCAATATTATGATTGCAAGGATAACATGCCCATAGGGGTCATTATCCTGACAGCCATTAGAGGCAATTTCCTAAACTGCATTTGATTGGTGCTTGTGCACTAGCCTCCCAATACTTCCCTATGGGGATGCATTGCATTGGCTGAGATCATCATTACTGATGATCTCTAAAAAGAAGGCAGGGAGACTGTGGTGAGACAAGCTTGCCACAGGTTAAGATAAGTAAACTGCTTACAAGGTGGGCCTAACCGTCTAGATAGAGAGAAGAACCCTACTGCGTTAGGAAAACGTATTTGTATTCCCAACACTACAGTGTTCCTTTAACTCAATGTAGGTAAGCAGAAACCAGCTTCCTCAGATAGAATTACAGAAGCCAATTCTATCAGTTGAATGCTTCAGAGGGAGTGTGGCCTATTTAACTTTCCAAGTGACACTGACCGTGTCCATTATTTTACTTTTTTTTTTTTTTTTAAGAACACAAATCAAAAAAAAAAAAAAAGTTTGCCAAATTTTAAAGTCAATGTTAAAGATAAGTGACTCAATTAAAACCTCACAAAACATGCAAATACTGGTCTCAATGGGGTTAAAATGGCATACCTGATCTAGAACAGGCTATCTTAGTACTACCTATACTAAGCATAATACATGCCATTAAGCACTTGATATCAAATGTAAGAGAGAAAAACTAATCATACCCCGTTACAGTGGAAATGTTATTGGTTACTTTAATTAGATATTTTCAACACCGTTAAATAAAATAGGGACTACATGTACATTTTAAGTATGGTATATGAGGACACAACCAGCATCTCTACTGCAGAGTCCTCCCTTTTAACAGATCACCTCGTATAGACAATCACACGTGAGCATTCTGCACAGACATAAGATATCCTTCACGATCTTCTACAGAGCACTTTTCTGTATTACAGAGAACAAAAAAAAAAAAAAAGTTTTCAATGCATAAAAGGTACAAACCTATTTTTACTCTTCCTCGTTCTGGACCTTCACCCATTACTAAAATATTAGCAGGTTTCTACAAAAGGAGGAGAACAAAAAAATATTGTGTTTCTAAGCAATGTCACAAAAATTGTAATAGTAATTCATTACTACCACATTTATTATGGTTTGACTTGGTAATGGATTGATAAATACATATATATGTACAAATTAGTTTTATCATGCTGAATTCCAATTGAAGATTATGCTAGCTTTAGTGTGCTTATAACCTTAAAAAAAATGACAGGAGGAAAATATGTTACATATCTTTACTGAACGCCATAGTAGAAAAGGAAAAACTACACAAATAAACAAAGAACCAATCAAAAACAAGCAAATGTGAGGCAAAACTCTTTCCAATGCAAAACACAGGAACAGAATATACCCTCTGGAAGATCAGATGGAACACTAAGCACAAAAGAGGCATAATCTTTGAGGATAACTGGTGTAGAGACAGATTCTCATTAACAGGCAAGTCATGGCTAAAATGTCCCAAAGAGAAGCATATTTGGGACCCAGGGACCGCTGAAAGTGTATACCACTCAATAAAAATGACAGACAAGAGAACCCCTGCCTACAGAAAGGCACTGGACCAGAATGTGAGCGTCAGAGATGGCAGAACACATTGCATTGACTGATAGGAACGCCCAATGGAATAGTCAACAGAAAGTTCAGTATGGCAGTGATAGGGGCAGTGAAGGGATCATGATCCCAGTCAACACATCAGCGAGTCTAGGAACTCCAAGCGGACAGGTAACTACGTTTTGTACCTAGAGCCCACAAGTCCCATAGTAGATCTTCAGCTGCGCTGCCTGTGATAATCTGCTGACATGCCAGGAACCTTGGAAAGCATCCAAGTCATCAGACAAAGTCGGTCTTCTAACATTAGAGGGTGAAGTCCCCCTCGTGGATCCAAAATAAGTTTAAAAGGATCACTATAGGGTCAGTAACACAAACATGTATTCCTGACCCTATAGTGTTAAAACTTCCATCTAGCCCCCCTGGGCTCCTCATGTCCCATAAATATAGCAAAATCTTACTTGTATTCAAGCCTGAAGCTGTAACTCTGCATGCTGTTTGACTCAGAAAAACATGCTGTCTGCTGACATCATCAGAAGTAGTAGCCTGATCCAATCACAGTGCTTCCCCATAGGATTGGCTGAGACTGACAAAGAGGCAGATCAGGGGAAGAGCCAGCTTAATTAAACACAGCCCTGGCTAATCAGCATCTCCTCATAGAGATGAATTGAATCAATGAATCTCTATGAGGAAAAGTTCAGTGTCTGCATGCAGAGGGAGGAGACACTGAATGTTTGGATGCATTTTAGGCAGCCATGACCCAGGAAGGTTCTATAACAGCCATCTAAGGAGTGGCCAGTGAAGTTATCACTAGGCTGTAATGTAAACACTGCATTTTCTCTGAAAAGACAGTGTTTACAGCAAAAAGCCTGAAGGTAATGATTCTACTTACCAGAACAAATTCAATAAGCTGTAGTTGTTCTGGTGACTAGAGTGTCCCTTTAATAGCTTGGTAGAGATCTATGCATTATTACTCCAGAAGATCCGAGAACCAGGGCTGGCTCTGCCAGAAAGGGGTGAGCAACACAAACTGGACTTGCTGGAAGCGGATGTGATGGATCACCTATGCAATCATTGTGAAGGGGAAAAATGCATACATAGCGCTCCCAGAGCCAACCAGCGTTTGAGAATGGCATTCACTGAATCCAGCTGAAGCAAACAGACCCAGTTGTAAAGGAACCCTCAGTGAATGCAGAAGAGAACATTTCCATGTCCAGTTGCCAATCGGTGTCCCTCCAATGTGTCGAATCTGCTGTGAGGTTCAACTCTTCTGGAAAGTACTCTGCCTTTAAGGAAATATTGCGATCGAGGCAGAAGTCACATCTCTTTCATTATCTCTGCTAACCGATGAGAGAAAACACCCCCCAACAATTGAGGTGTCGTCCATCCATAGAAGAATGCAACAATTGGATCTTGCTCTTGCAAGACTATAAATGGTGAACTAGAAGTTCTGGACAATTGACGAGGACTGCGGTTTCCTGTTCTGACCACAACCCAACCCAACCCAACCCCTGTGGAGTTCTTGTTGCGGACAGCGCCCCAACCTTAAAGGAAAGGCATAGGATTCCAGTACTAATTACAGCTGCGGCCCAAAGATGGCATGTTTGTTTTACCAGAGCAGTTCCGACTGAACATCCTCTGTCAGCGGGACCAGTTGATCGTATGTCTGATTCTGCCAAAGAAGGGTAGCCTTCAAGAGCTGCATTGCTTTATAGTGCAGATGATCCAAAAAATGGTCTGAATTTAATTGGATAGAAGGCCCACCAGTCTTGCAAGATGCCTTAACGGGCTAGAATGGAGACACAGGACTTTGCAGATTTCCTTCCATATTGTGGAGACCTTCGATCCCCGGAAGCTTGAGAACACAAGTGACGGAATTGATGTCAAAGCCCACAAAGTGAACCATCTGCAAAGATACCACAGCTGACTTGGAACGATTCAAAACAAACCCGAGAAAATCCACAATAAAGGATGTTTGACGACACAACCGTGACGCTTCGGAACATAAAAAAAATAAAAAGGGAGTCCAAGTAACTAATGCAACATATCTCCTGGATTACTGATTTCAGAAGTTTTATGAAACACCATGGCACTGTGATGATGACGAAAGGCAGGCATGGTAACGGCCATGGTGTTCTGTGCCAGTGGAATCGGAGGAAGTGATGGCTGGAATGATGAACGGGAACTGAGAGGTATGAGCCCTTTAAGTCAAGGTGTGTAGACCAGTCTCTTTCCTGCAGAAGATGGCTGGAATGATGAACGGGAACTGAGAGGTGATACTTTGCTTGTTTTAACTGGTTATTTGTTTCCATGGAGTTTATTATTTGCTGCTAAAGAGTTCAGTAAAGATATGCAACAGAAGTTTTATGAAACACCATGGCACTGTGATGATGACGAAAGGCAGGCATGGTAACGGCCATGGTGTTCTGTGCCAGTGGAATCGGAGGAAGTGATGGCTGGAATGATGAACGGGAACTGAGAGGTATGAACCCTTTAAGTCAAGGTGTGTAGACCAGTCTCTTTCCTGCAGAAGATGGATACCCTCCAATTTGAAACGGTGGTACACCACATGAGCATTGAAGTCTCTCAAGTAGACATATACCAGGGCTGAACATGTACATGCTTAGCATATTCAACAGCAATAATTACTACAACTGGCCTGTTCGTTGTGAAGAGCAGCAAATAAAGAGGAGATGCTTAAGACTGTTTTACCTCATACATACTTTGCTTGTTTTAACTGGTTATTTGTTTCCATGGAGTTTATTATTTGCTGCTAAAGAGTTCAGTAAAGATATGCAACATGTGAAGCCTCTGGGCATGCACAATTGTTATAACTAAACTAATATTATATATAAATTTTATACAGTAATAAAAGAACTAGTATCACTATGAAACTAAATATACAGCCAATATTCACATTGCAGATGTCTGAACTACATTAACAAGCCCATCGTAAAACAGTGATAAACCAATGGGCAACTTTGGTTTAAGAAAATGTGCCACGGGAGAAGGTGAGTCAATTTGCTTGACAATGTTCCAGCAGTGAAAGTGACCTTTTGAGGACATTAATCGGACACTATAGTCACCAAAACAACTTCAGCTTAATGAAGCAGTTTTGTTTCTAGGTCATGCCTCTGAAGTTTCACTGCTTAATTCATGGTCATTAATGCAGCCCTAGCCACACCTTCCCTGGCTGTGACTGATACAGCCATCATTAAGAAAAATGGTTTCATTTTCAATCAGATGTAACTCACTTTAAAAGATTTTATCTCTAGTAAAGTAGCTATTAACAGAGATTGAGATAAGAAATTCTAAATTAAACATAATTTGCAATTAAAGGAAGTGTAGACATTGGATGACTCTATACAGAAAGTTTTTAGGAAAGCTGTGTAAGTCACATGCAGGGAGGTGAGCCTCGGGCTGAATGCACAAAGTGTTTTAACTTCTAAATGGCAGAGATTTGAGCAGTGAGACTGCAGGGGCATGATCTATACACCAAAACTGCTTCATTAAGCTAAAGTTGTTTTGGGTACTATAGTGTCCCTTTAAGATAACACTCATTTACAAAAGGCTTTATTTTTATTTACTTTTAAAAAACAATTCATGTTTTAAATAAAATATGTATACATTTTCCTGTCTAATTTCTTTGGGAGTATATGGGAAGAAGAAAAGGGGGAGAGGGGGCGGAGAAACCGCTTGAAAAAGCTACAGACCCTCTGTCTGCAGCCTTTGAAAGCCCTACTCTGTTGGTCACAGACTTCCAACCCGAGCACGCGTGAGCAACTTTCCTATTCTTGTGAATGAGCTGTAATATGACAATTTCAAGCTTAGCATGCTTGCTGCTTCCATTATCTCTGTGGAACTGGTTGGGAATTAAAACCTCCTTGACTGAGTTGACAACCAGGGAGGAGTTTCTGTCCCCAATTATAAAAATGGCAATTTCTATTCAAATCTGCACTCTTATAAACTGTCAAGAAAATGACAGACACCAGACATATGAAAGCACTTCAGCAAGATGTTCCTTTCATAAAAAATATTCTTCAAAGCAAGGTGGTTTATTTAAAAAAAAGTTTCAAGAAGCAATTTTCCCCCATCGGTCTTTTTTCCCAAGTAAGTAGCTTACAACCATTTCTAGAAAATATCCAATGGAGCGGTTCTAACTTCATTAACAGGTACTCTGAAACACAGATTCCATTTTTAACAGTTAATAAAAACAAAAATGTTGAAACAGCCAGTTAATTAGAGGATGTGACTTACTAATGCTTCCTATAAACTAAAGATTAATGAAAGAGCAAATCCTTCATTAATTGAAGCTTTTACTGGAATATGATGGCCAGATTTGGTACGAGAAAACCATCTAGTTATATGATGTAAAAACCAATTACCATACCCAGAGAACAGCTCGACGTGACATGGACAAAGTATTTTCCCCCTTTGACAATCTATCTCAGCCCGAGCCAACATGGTAAACCAAAATTGTGGAAGTATGAGCAAGTCAGTACAAATACAAATTTTGTAAAACTAAAAATCTTTATTGATTACAAGATGGAGGAGTGGGGGGCTGGTGGACCCAAGATAGTCAGTCTAAAAATGGGGGGAGAGGAACTTGCTCTACCATAACATAACCTTTGATTGGGGGCAGTGTGGGCAGTGTATTAAAGTAGAGTGGTGGGAGTGGGGGCAGTCTATTCAATTAGAGTGGAGGGCGGAGGGGCAGTGTATTAGATTAAAGGGCAATCTGTTAGATTGGGTGAAGGGGGCAGTGTATGGTGGAGTAGAGGAGTGGAGGGGCAGTGTGTTGGATTTGTGGGCAGTGTATTAGATTGTGTCTGCATGGAGGCGCTGTTTGGCTACACATGCACGCATATGGGAAAGCATTGGATTGGCTAAGATCATCAAGTTTGATGATCTCAGCCAAAGTGAAGAACACACTCATAGAACTTCAAAATAAACATCCTTTGTTTTTTACAGCTGTGAAACAGCATACATTCACCATTTCAGTCCCATTAACAAATATTTCTTAAAGGGACACTCCAGGCACCTAAACAACTTCTGCCCATTGGAGTGCTCTGGGTGCCAACACCCACTACCCTTAACCCTGCAACTGCAAATATTGCAGTTTTCATAAACTGCAATATTTACATTGCAGGGTTAACTCCTCCTCTAGGGGCTGTCTGCTAGACAGCCACTAAAGGGCACTTCCTGGTCTATAGCACAGGTTTTCTGTGCTATAGCGTTGCTGGACGTCCTCATGCTATGTGAGGACCTCCAGCATTGCTAAAATCCCCATAGGAAAGCATTTAAAGCATTTTCCAAGGGGGAGGTCTAATGCTGCGCATGCGCAATCAGTCTACCCCGCCGGCTGACGTCGGCTGGGGAGGAGCGTGGGCGGACCCTAAACCACCGCCGAAGGACATTGGCAGTGGTCTTCAGCAACATGGGGTGGGGGAGGGAGAGGGGACCAGCAGTGCCAACTGGAGTGTCACTTTAAAATGCCAAGGTAGTTGGACTGAAACGTTGTTTATATGCAAATGCATTTCTTAAAATAAATGCGCTCTTTTGTTTGTTTATAAGCCCTACGAGCGCGAGGATGTCCAGTGTCAGTTAGGCAACTTTTTTTATACTGTACTTTTCTAAATAAAACTACGAATGCATCACCTTCTATTAATGGCACAGGGTAAAGTTAAACGAATTTGCATAGTATGCCCTAGGTAAGTATACAAGATAAATTAAAGCATTAATAATGTGTATGTTAATTATGTAGATTTATCATACAAACATTTAACAGATTTATAATAAAAAAAACAACAACAACATTAATCAAGATATGATTGTTTCACTTTTTGAAATCAGTCAAGACTTGCACTCTGCACAGGATAATCTATACATGCGCCTTATAGACTGTTTTGAATCCAGGTTACAGGGGACTCAAATGTTCTGCGAGATATATATATATCCAGTTTGTAAAATGAGTATGGCAGCAAACCCTTTACACAGAGACATTACCTTTGGTCACACTGTTTCATTGTGGTTATTTATTTATATACACTGCATCGAAAGTTCATGAATATCACAATGCAATCAACAGACAACCCTATTCAACTTTCAAGGCTGCCTGTCTATACAGTGTTGGACCAATATGCCTGCTGTCTAGATGCAGTGCTTCACCAGTAACGCAAGCGGAGTTTTAAGGACACGTTTACGCTTCCCGGCTTCAGATCTGCCAATGTTCGTTTATACTTTACTAATTGTATTATAAACAAAAGAAGAATAAATAAACTATTAAATATCTAAGGAACTTTTTATTTTCTTTAAAAGTAAAGAAAATATATCTAAAAAACTTCACATAGACAAAGTTAAATCCACCTATAGTTCTGTCACACTGTCAGCCACTAGAGGCGCTTCCGCAACACTGACAGAATAAAATTCTGTTACATGATGCGGAATCCCATAGGAAAGCAAAATATACTTTGAATATGTCTGACAGACCGAAGTGCAAGCTATTGAGGTTCTCCAAGATTTTGCCTGTTTTCAGAGTTCTAATATACCCTGTTTTTGCTGCAATGCATTTACTTAGCCACTCCGTAAGTTATAAAGGGTAATCCAGAAGTGGATCCCATGCTCACTGTACCTAGAGGAATATATCAACTACATCTTGCTGACGAGGTCCAAAGCAGGCCAAAATAATTGCTGTATCTCTCGTGCAGAGGGAACTTGCCCGTATTTCGATTCTGGACTGCCCTAATGGACATGATCAGTCTGGTGTGCAAATGATATAGGTTCGCTTTGTAATTACCCAAGTAAGCAAAACAATTTGAGACCTGAGCAGTGGACTAATCCGTTCTCAAGATTTCTCATATTCCCTGTTTTTGTTTGTGTGAAAGTTTGAATGTGAACAATGCGCCAGCTGCACATGTTCTTTAGGTTCCCAGTGGTCCTCTATGAGGAGCATGGGGCTACACCATTGTGGAGTAAGAGTATCAGCACAGAGGGAGCCTTGGTGCTGGAAAAAGGAAAATGTCCCCTTAACCCTGTAATGTAAAACATTGCCGTTTCAGATAAACTGCAATAGTTACCTTGAAGAACTAAGACTGCCTCTAGTTACGGTCTACCGGACAGCCCCTAGAGGCGTTTCCTAGATTCTAACGGACTCAGAGTCCCTTAAATGATGGACGTCATCGCGCTCTGCAAGGGTACATCCAGCATCATTGAAATCCCCACAGGAAAGCATTAAGGCAATGCTTTCTTATGGGGAGGGCCTAATGCTCTTGCAGCACTCGCCGCTCATGCGCACTCTGTACTGCCGTCGGATGACGACTGAGCGCGACCCAGTGCCGAGGGACATTGGGTGAGAAGATAAAGGGGACCAGAGGGTACTACAGAGTTAGAAAAACACATCTGTATTACTAACACTATAGAATCTCTTTAACCTCATACAAACTGCAATGTATGTATTCGATTTTAAAATGTAAAATATTGAGATTTCTGACTTTTTTTATGCAGAATATACTGGTGCAAAGTAATATTCATGTTAAAGTTAAAACACTTCCCATACAAATAAAAAAGTAATTGATCTAGAATGAAGTAGCCAAAAATCCACAGGGAATTTTGTTGACAACCGAATTGGCAATTTGGATATGGAGAAGGCATTTGTGCATGAAGATCTGGAGATGCACTCAGATTATGTGTGCATATAACACCTTTCTCTGAAAAAGATTTGAAGTCCTGTAACTTTTGTAATGCAGTATTCACAACATTTATGTGGATACGCTCAAAGATTTAATGAGCTGGATTACTGACACTTACCAGCCCAGTGAGGAGCTAAGGATGCTTGCCCTTTCTCTCCTAAATAGATTTTGTCACCATAGTAAGAAAATTATACAGAAAACATAAAACAAACAAAAAAAATATGAAAAAAAAAGAGAACACAAACAGCTACAAAGATTATATGACAGCTAAAATCCCTTGTAGCACTGACAAAGTGGCAGCTAAAACCTGGGATTTTAATAAAAGTATACAGTATGGGGCTGGGGGCGAAGCAAATCTGGTCTCAGTCGGTTTATCTCAACATCAGACACTTTGTACCTTGCCTTTGTGTTGCTGAATGCTCATTAATACTTGGCACTGAAGATGAAATAAAGTGCCCTGATAATCCCTTTACAGGCAGAGGTCTCTCTGCATATAAATGAGTAGAGAAACAATTCTCAGAAATCTACTTTGCAGCATATGCATGATTCTTTTCCTACTAATCATCAACCTCAGCATGAGTGTTTAAATTCCAAAGAAAATTATATGTAAAACTGAAGTGAGCATAAATAAATCCTTTAGAACAAAGGTTAAGCTCTTCAGCAACCCGATTTATATGCATCTATATTATCACTCCATGATGTCACCATAACATGCACGTGGCAAAATCCCCTTTTTACCAGAGTTTGCCATGAGCTCCTGGAGTAGCCTGCTTGCCAGCCTCCTGCCCAAAGACTCTGGGCCCTGCAGAGAAACCTGTAAAAAAAACTACCGAACTTGACCGACTGTTAGCACTGATTTCCCAGGAACTGTTTTGGGCATGGGGCCATGCTTGTGGTCGGTCAAAACTATGACTTTCAGGAAATTCCTGAACCCCTGAAGCGATCTGGGTGATTTTTGGATATGTTGTTCACCGATCCAGGGATTTATGGGGTTTCATAAAATAGTATGTTTTTCTGTGCTTGGAGATATTTGGGTTAGATTAGTACAGTTCCTGATTCAATTATCTCCCAAGCACAGATGAGGGATTCTATTGTTTGTGTATGGGAGTGTCTCACTGTATAACTTGGTATTTATTTTTTTTGCTCACTTTGTGTCCCTGTGCCAAACAAGGTCCACCTGGGTGTCGCCCTTGTTGGGAAACTTGCATAAAAGGCCAGTGTGCCTCCATTAAAAGCTATTCCAGCTTACAGTCCAAAACGGTGTGTCGTCCTGTTATTGGAGGGAAAGAAGATTTACTCCTGCGTCTGCTGTTTCAGCTTGCAGGGGATTCAACGGGGAAAGTCCTTGTAAGGACTAGAGCTAATTCCCCATTTGGCAGCAGGAAGGAGTGGTTCCAGGGCCCCAGTCAAGCCACGGCGATTGTGGGCAGAATTGCCACGGTTTGTCCCCGTTCCAGCTAGGAATCGGTCCTTGGCGGAGGTACCCAGCCAGGGGTACAGGCTGGGTAACTGTTACAATGCAATATGCATGTTTTTTTTTTTCTTCTTATCTTGCATTGTCAAATATGGTTCATGCCAATATGGAACCAGGGCAATCTGCCGACAAGTGAACATTCCATTCCTGGACACAAAGTGACAAACTAGACCTGCTTTACTGCGACTACTAGAGCAGACCCAATCAGAGAGGCTTTATGAAACATATGTGGGAATTAAGGATGAATAAGAGATCATCATCTATATTAACACCAAAATAGCTAGATAGACAATGTTTCAACATAATCAAGAAGAAACAACATACAAAAAAAAATAAAAAATAAAAATATGTATTGGGGCAGATATGTACTGTAGTTGATGCTGCCACCCTGGATTAGTGGGAGTTTGAGCACAGGTCTTATTTTTGTATTATACAGCTATGTTACAATGCTGCCGCCTACCACATGTGTTTCCTATTAAGAGTTAATTTTAAAAATATATTTTTATTGATTCAAAAGCTGGCTTCTGCGCAAGCCCGAAACTATGAGCTGTACTTGCTGTACCTATCGAATGAAAAAATAAAGAATAAAAAAAAATAGATATTTTTTTTTACCTGAAGCTGAAAGAAGCAAGCATGGGCGTCCGCAGGGGGGGAGGGGACACCTGCCCCCTTGGAATTTTCAGCTTGTGCTGCTCTCTCATTTGTGTGATAAACTGCACTACCGGCGCCTGCGAGTAGAAAGGCAGGGAAAGGAAGGTACAGCTTATCCCTGCTTCTTTCTCCTGACTGCATCCGCAGGGGAACAGGTAAGTGAGGTATGGGGGCAGCCTACAGATCAGGTAAGTGAGGTATAGGGGGCAGCCTACAGATCAGGTAAGTGGGTATGGGGGCAGCCTACAGGTCAGGTAAGTGAGGTAGGGGGGGCAGCCTACAGATCAGGTAAGTGAGGCATGGTACAGATCAGGTAAGTAAGGCATGGGGGGGGGGTGGGGGCAGCCTACAAATCAGGTAAGTGAGACATTGTGGGGGACAGCCTTCAGATCAAGTAAATGAGGCATGGGGGGGCAGCCTACAGATCAGGTAAGTGAGGGGAGGGTGAAGTAGAAGAAGCAGAAATGAGCAGAAGGGACAGGAGGTGCCAGCAAGGAGCAAGCAGGAGAGGTCAGCAAGGAGTAGGAAGGGTCTGCAAAGAGCAGGGGGTCAGCAAGGAGTAGGAAGGGTCTGCAAAGGGCAGGAGGTTTCAGCAAGGAGTAGGAAGGGTCAGCAGGGGTCGTCAAGGAGAAAGAAAGGGCAGCAAGGAGAAAGAAGGGGCAGCAAGGAGAAAGAAGGGGCAGCAAGGAGAAAGAAGGGGCAGCAAGGAGCACAAAGGTAATGTAGGAGAAGGAACAGAAAGGGGCAGCAATGAGCTGGAAGGGGCAGCAAGAAGGAGGAAGGGTCTGCAATGAGCAGAAAGGGAAATCAAGGAGTAGAAAAGGTCAACAATTATCTGGAAGGGGCAGAAGGAGCATAAAGGTAAAGTAGGAAAACGAACAGAAATGAGCAGCAAAGAGCAGGGAGGGCCTGCAAGGAGAAAGGTAAAGGAGCAGAAGGTGCCAAGGAGGAGAGAAGACTGTGTCAGAAGAAAAAGAAGACTGTCAAATGGAGAAGAAAACGAGATTGGAGCAGGAACGATAAGTGAAGTGATCTTTCCACTTCATTCTGGACACCACATCATAAGGCTTTGGTACCTGGGCCTGGCAGGAAACTTTGGACCTTCTCATCTCCCCAGGTAAAAAACATATCAGTGTTAATGTGTTCACTTTTATTTACTGAGTGTCAGGAAACACAGAGGGCCTCTAGGTAGGGGTGCCGCTGATTGGCTACAAGTAGCTCCCCATTCTTAAAAAAGTAAAAAAATAATAATTTATGAATTGGGAACTAGCAACTGGCTTCGAGCGTCGTCTGACCACTCTAGCCAATCAGTGACACCCATGCCTGATGACAATCTGCACTTCCTGACACTCTGTTTCAGAAGCCAAATACCACTGAGCAACCTGGAGCTGGAGGAAGCCTTTGGGGTTAAACAATTTGAGAGCCATTTAACCCTTTAAAGGAAAGAGAGTACCCAGGGGCCTCCTGGCATCATAGCAATTTCATTTAGATGAAGTTGTTATAATGACCAGAATGTCCCTTTAATTTGATTAAAGGAACACTATAGTGTCAGGAAAACAAACGTGTTCCTGACACCATAGTTGTGAAAATGCTATTCACCCTGGCTTTATGTGATAATGACTATGCTCCTCCCCTTCATGACACTGTCAAAAAGCGGCCAAGCATGGATGTCATCACAATTTGTCGTTCCCCCCCACACAAATTCCTGCGGATGCCCAAGGAAGCAAGGTGAATTGTTAGTGCAGGACTAACCAAACAGGTTTTCCTTGACGTGGCAGGTGAGCTTACACACAAGTGGTCACTGAAGTGATACTAAAATCATCCAGTTCTTTAAAAGTGCATAGGGATTTGGGCTAGTGTGCAAGTAACTCTTTTCTTTGTTTTTGTATTGTATGTATTGGGGCTAATGTGTACTGTAGTTGTTGATGCCGCCCAGGAGTAGTAGGAGTTTGAGCACACAATTTATTTTTGTATATTTATATATTCATACACATAATACATATTATAAACATATAATTTTATTTCAAAATAAGAACACACCTGAAGGTAATGATCCTTTTCAGATGATCACGTTACCCAAACCTTCTGCTACAGGTTGTGTAGTAGTAGTGCAACAACATCTGGACAGCTACGGTTTGCCCACCCGGATACACACTATAATCCCAACACAAGGAGGTTTACATAAGCTAAGAGTACTGACTGGAAAACTGTGTGACAGAATACTCTCCTGTTTTTTCCACGGTCTAAGAGACTGACAGTTAATCCTAATGCAGTGTGGGCTCACTAGAAAGTGCAACTTTACAAAAGCACACATGTAATTCCATGCAATAACTAGCTCGAGATTTTGCACGGAGGCAGCTTAAAGTGGTTAAGGCTTAGCACAGGGGCTTTTGGGGCATTCGACCTTGACATATACAGATTTTTATTTTGACACCCAATTTAGCTATAAATGCCATCTCAACAATGTATATAAATAGTTTTTTGTAAACGTCAACTTACCAAATCTCTATGCAATACCCAGTTAGCATGAAGGTAGTGAATGCCATCTAAAATCTGATAAAGCAGTGACTTCACCATACCCCGAGGTAACTGCACCGGTTTTTTGTTTGCTTTAGAGGCTCTGTGAAATTTGATTATGTGCTGAAAGAAGAAGAAAGACAAGGATATAATAATTCTTACATTTATGAAGGGGAACGGGTACAAAATAATATAAAAAGCGATTAGGTAGTCATGACACACAATGAACTAAAATGTAAAAAATTTTTAAAGGACTGTTTAACTGGCGCTTCTTTGCAGAAGCCCTACAATAGAGGGCAAATTATGCTTTTCGATTAGACTAATTTTGGGCTTTGAATGCACACGTTAGATGTTCAAAGTGAGTTACAAAGCACCTGTAGTGGCCTTCTGAGTAACTGCTACTAGAGGTGTCCCTAGGAAGCTAAGTAAACATTGCCTGGTCTCTGAAAGGCAGTGTTTACATTAAAAGGCCTGCAGGGATTGACTATACTCACCAGAACAACTACATTAAGTTGTAATTCTGGTGACTATAGTGTCCATTTAACTTTAATATTGAAGATCTAAAAATTAACCCATACACTCAAATTAAATAAACTTTGAATTATGTTAGTTTTCAGCTTACCTCAATTACGTGACCTGTTTCACTTGCCTTAATGACATTGCAAAACTGAACTATAGCCACCTATAACAAAGTTAACAAGACTAAGTGCAGTAATTTTGACCTCTTGTTATTGGTCATGGAGGCTTCTATTTAATAACCATTTATATTAAAATGTTGTTATAGACTTTGACACTTTATAAATAATACAAAAAAATCAAATCCTGCGCTCAAACTCCCATTACTCCTGGGAAGCAATGACTATAGTACACATCAGCTCAAATACATACAGTAAAAACCAAAGAAAAAAAAACCCAGTTACCTGCACACTTTCCCAAATCCCTATGTATATTTAAACAAATGGAGGTTATTAGTTACCTCCAATGGCCATGACAGGGTATGCCCACCTGCCACGTCAAGGAAGACCTCTTAGGTGGGTCCTAACTAACCATTCGCCTTGCTTCCTTGAGCTTCTGGCAAAGATATCTCTAATGAGACAAAAAGGGGCAGGGGCAAGCCACCTAAATGGTGGGATTAGCACTATAGGGTCAGGAATACAGGTTTGTGTTCCTGACCCTATAGTGATCCTTTAATGTAGACCTAGGTGGTGTGATATTTGTGACACGTAGTTACATCACTTGTCCACTGTCATAGTTTATCACTTTTATAAATGGCATTTCACAATCCGTGCATAGTGGGAAACTCACAAGGATTGCTGGATGTTCTAATCTAGGGGATTCTCATTCTTGAGCAAGAAAAGGGAGCAGAGATCTGTGTTTGTACCCTCGCAGCTCTTTCCATTCCCTGAAACTGTGGGACAAGCATCTCTGTACATGACATCATAAAACATTACACAAAGCATCAGATCAGGAGAGATTTTTGCAGGTCCACACCACGTAAACAGGTATGAAGCCAACCAAATAGGTAAAACGGGAATCTTCTGCAGAGTTTACAGCCCCCAACAAAAGCCTATTTGGCATTTCTGTGAGACAGAAAACCAACTAGAATGAGGTATTCCCCTCAATACACAAAATGCAAATAATACAGAAGGATGAAAAAAAACAAAAAAAAAAACAAACCTTCCCACAGTTGCATACAGTACAAAATAAAATGTCCAAGAGTACTGCTGTGTTTGTCCAGTGAGGCCCCAATTCAGGATAAAACACCTGATACCATGAGATGATTAGAAAAGAATTTCTTTAAGTAGTCACTTCAGCAATGTGAAAGAGCCCTAGTCAAACTCATGAAAAGAGAAGCTGTTGGAACATTGCCGGCTTAGAAATGCACTTTCAAAATCTCAATTCTACAAATGCCAGGCAGAGCCGGAAGCTTGGTCCTGGCATTCGATACAGCAACACAGTGGCTTAGTGTACTTGACTGAAAGGAGACTCTGCATCACTGAGCTGAGGCTATGAGCTATTCCA